CCCCTATAATAGACTTAGCAACAAAAACCCAAATGACACCAGTAGACGTCTTTTGGCCGATGAATCATACTAAAATTTTCTAATTATCAACTATTTTACAATTAAATGAAATATTTACAATGTGCAGCCGAAGTGCAGCGGCTGCGATAGCGTCACGGGGCTTAAGTAAGGCTGCTGCCCGTGACACCATGAGCCGCTCTCGAGCTCAACGAGCCGAGCAAGGCTCGGCTCTTCAAGCTCACTTGCAGCTCATCTCGGGCTCGTCAAGTTATGACCGTATATTCTGTTAAAAACAGGTATTGTAGTAACCATATCGTTATGAAAATATGTGGATATTACCAAATATTCAAATAGATTCTAGATTATTGTTTTTTTTATACTTTGAAAGCTCAAAGTTTAGACATATGTGAACTTTCAAATTAAGATATAGTAGTGTAGATCATTATGTCAATATGAAAAAAAAATAAAATGACAAAATATTTTTATGCTAAAGATTCTGTCAAAATTCATAATAATTTTGCCTTTTTACAAATTATAAAACGTTTAGAGATGACAACGAGGCTTCTTTTGGACGGCCCTCCCTAGCTCTAGCTCTGTGGGGATTTTCGAGAGGTGGACGAGGACTAGACGAGTTAGGGTAGAGATCAAAACATTTTCCTATATTATTCAATTTACTTTTTTAATACTATGCCGTTATTTGATTCTCATTTTTTTTTAAAATTCGTTTTTCTCTCTCTTATTTTCAACCACACATTCTTCAATGAAATAATATTATACACAAACATAAAATTTTACCTTATTTTTTAACCATACATTATCCGTCAATATAATATTCCAAAATGCATTCTTGAACTTTTAATGGGTTTCAAACATGCACTATATTTAACTTCAAATAAAGAATAAGTTTCGAGGTACAGTGGAAGCGGGATCATGAAGTTTTTTTGATTCTCTAAAATTAATTTCACCTAAAGTCGCGAGAGCGATTTTAGTAGGTAGCACTGGAGAAAGAAAGCTTGGAGGAACTGTATTTCTTTATTTCTTCTTTCCCCTTCTTCGCAAGAAATCTCTGCTGAAAAGTTCCCATTTTTTTTTCCAATCTCCAATTCTTCGATTTTCCTCAAAACTTCACATTTCCCTTTTATGCAATCTTGATTTTGGTCGCTGAACGATTTCAGAATAATGGATCAAAATCAATTCGGGAACGAGTTAATAAGTTCTTACTACCTCCTGCAATGGCGCCATAATTCTAAAGCCCTAACCCTAAAACCCTCCAATCCCGGAACTGAATCGGATTTAGGGCGACCCAATACGGAGGATGAAGACGAGAAAGAAGAGTGTCCGACGGAGCTCGACACGGTGAACAGTTCGGGCGGGTTCGCCGTGGTGTGCCCTGATAAATTGTCGGTGTTGTACCCGAATGTGAATTTGCACGATCATGATGTTGGAGTGGTTCATGCTAACTGCACCGCTCCGTCGAAGCGGCTGCTTTACTACTTCGAAATGTACGTGAAGAACGCCGGAGCCAAGGGCCAGAACTCCATCGGATTCGTCACTTCTGACTTCAAAGTCCGACGCCATCCTGGGTATGTATCAACCTCGCACTGGATTTCATTCTTGGTTTTTTTTTTAAATATCATTCTTTTTGGTATTTCTTTGTTTCTTTTACACACGCGTGTAAATGTATTGATTGGGGGGCTTATTGAACTGTACTTGGTTGTCGGGAATTTGGTTTGAGCAATGGCATATGAGAGGCCAAGAAAAAATGGTAGGTCTCTGTGCTTGAAAATATTGTACCTCGCCATGTGGAGGAGCATTTGTATATATACGAGGACTTCGTGCACAATCTTCATCGTTAAATTTTTTATTTTTCACGTTTGTTAGCATAAATTTTAAAGTTTATATGTGTGTTTGGGGATGATTAGTACTTCATGAACCTCAGCAATTGGTTTTCACACTCTAGTGACAATGAAGGTATAAGTATTGGATTTTCGGATATGGAATTAGTGTTTTTGTCTTCAGGCCTCTACAGTTGTACATTGCTTTTTGTAGGGTTATAATCTGAGTGTCTCTAATTTCAACGTTATCAGCGTTACCCTGGTAGTTGGTTTTTTTTCTTTATTTTTGGATGTGTACAGACTGGTTAAAACTTTTAATGGCTTGTTGATATTATAAAAAGAAGATGCAACAATCTGGTTATGCATTTTAATTTTTTGAGTGCCATTTTTAAAAGGGATTGACACTTCATACAGTGGAGAATGGAGATGATGCAGCATGCGCATGACAGGCTTTAATTGCAGAAGAAGAAGGGGAAAGCAGGAGATAAGGAGGGATGAGAGGAAGAAGGGAGGAAGTTGGGAAAGGAGAAAGAGAAGGAGGGAGGAGAAGAAGAATAAGGAGAAGAGGAAAAGGGGGAGAAGAAAGAGAAATAGAACAGTTAGACAGAGAGAGGCGTGAGAGGGAGGAGATTATAGAAAAATAACGGAAGGAAATAAATCAAATATTAGAAAATCCCTCAAAATAAATTGTAGATTCTCTTCCTAAAACAAGTGTTCAATCTTTGTAAGTCTTCAAGAGAGTATCTATTATGATCTCTCATCGAAAGATCTTGCATTTCTCTCTCTCGCTCCCTCTATGTCATCTTATATAGTTTAATTATTAAGGTATCATTAGTAATTGATAATGTGGACATCAAAGGGCAGTTTAGGGCCTTTTTGGAGGCTAAAGAGATTCAATACTGGAACTGTCAAGTCTGGTCTAGCCTCGCTTAAGGCGAGAACGTTTAAGCGGCCGCTTTATTAATCAGAAAGGTGAAGACGGGAAACACAATATGTATCTTGTGGCCTGTGGGAATAGTGATTGATGTTATGTTGTGTTCAAACTCTAGAATGTGCTATGTGGCTTGGTATATATTTTTGTTAGTGCAAGCAATCCTAATAGGAAACTTTTCTTGCCTGCAATGGATTGAGCACTAGATAGAAATTCTCTCAAAGTTGTAAATTCTTTTAGAAAAATTGATGAATTATAACAAATAAAATGTTGAATGGGAAATTCCTATCAAAGGAAAGAATGAGATAGATTAAAGATCTTACAAAATAGATCCCACTTAAAAATTGAGAATTCAATATCAAAGAGTAGCTTGACAGTCATCAGCACTACAATCTTTTGACATTTGTTATTGTATTTTGAAGTCCTTGTTGATCCCTCTCTGTCCAACAGTTGGGAACCAAACAGTTATGGATATCGTGGTGATGATGGGCTTCTTTATCGTGGACGTGAAAAGGGAGAGTCATTTGGTCCAACGAACACTACTGGTGATACAAAGTACACTACTGGTGATACAGTCGGTGGTGGTATCAACTACGCTGCACAAGAATTCTTTTTCACGTAAGATGGTCATTCACTTAGGCTTGCCTTTAGAGTAGGTCTGTTATTCTTGCATATTTTAATTGTGTGCCTTGAGGATTGAAATAAAGGTTAATTTCTGCATATTTGTTTCATCCTGTTCTTTTAATTCTGTGTATTCTTATGATTTTCCCGTCGTTAATACCAGGAAAAATGGGGTTGTAGTGGGAGCCGTTTACAAGGATGTTAAGGGTCCTGTCTTTCCTACTGTCGCTGTTCATAGCCAAGGCGAGGAGTATGTATAATCTCAATTTTTTGTGTTTTGCACCTATGTTTGTGTTGTTTTTCTTTTACTGCTACTTTTTTCTTAATGAGATGGTTGGACTGTCGATGCTATGTGTTCCTTAATTTTGGTGATATTGTGGTATTGTTGTATCTTATTTAGGGATCGTTTGATTCTCATTATTGTAGAATTAGAATGAAAAATATAGTCGTTATTGCCACACAAGAGATAAAAATTCAAAATTGATGACTTGATTTGATGGATAACGGTCATATTTTTCATTTTTATGGATGAAAAATGAGAAACAAACGGGGGTTTAATAAATATACTCTGGACAATTAGCGACTTGAATTCAAAGAATCGTGTAATACATCAAAATTTAGGTGAATGGCTTCACTTAAAACAAGCCATGAGAGCATTCACTCAGCATCTGCACTGTACTTGAAAGCAAACAGCAACGTCTACTATTCGAAGCATCATCTGCACCAGAAATGTTCCTTGAAGATTGTAAGTGATATAGAACGTATTATATCAACATTTAGAAGAGTTACTCTCATTTGCAAATTTGTCAAGAGAACTTCCTCATGAGCCCTACATTATACTGGAGAGCAAACAGCTATGGTTACTAAAGCAATAATCACTATACCACATATTATTCTGAAACATAATAAAAGTAAAGTGATAGTTTTTGGATTGATATGATAAACAAGTAAACAACTAAGCCTTTCTAAAGATAAACATAGTGTCGTGACTCTGCTTGTGTCTGTCACGACATGCACTGGAACATCTAATGTGATTTGATCATTCGCAACCACGTCATTTTAACTCGTCTACCTCTCCTTGTGACATATTCTACTAGGATCCCACACTCGTGTATGAGAGCTTTTTTAAGTATACCCCAACTCCTAAGTTGTCCTCTGCTATTTTATCCTCATTGGTGTAACCTCTTGTTATAGGTGTCTATCTCATTGTTTATCTTTTGCATTCTAGTATAATCATAAATTCAACTTAACATTCCCATTTTGAATACGTTCATCGTATTGACATTTTGTCCTTTTGACAACCAAACCTTTATATCCTGGCAGCTGGTTCGTAGAACTTGCATTTTAACCTTACTGAGATTTCATATTCGTGTAACACTGCTCCATTTTAGTTATTTTTAATCTTAATCCTCAGATTTCAACAATACTCTTCTAAAGTTCTAACTTATGTTTTAACCCCCCCTACTCCATCTACTCAAAAGAATCTCATCTTGGAAATGTCTTCTCAGCCTGTTTTGACTGAAGTAAAAATTATGACTTGAGACAATGTTGATGTAACCTCTACTATTATCGCCAAATCTCAGAGTTGTGAGTGCGTGTCTTTTAATAATATTCATATATCTAATAAAATTTCTTTCTCTACTTAACAGACTAGCACCAAGCACAGCACTTATATGGGCACCCCCTTAGGATTATTTATTTTTTATTTTTTTCTAAATAATCAAAAACCACATGTAAATCTTGGTTCTTTTCTCTAACTTGTCTATCATTCTCCTAAGCATGATAATGACTTCCATAGTAGATGTCCTGAAGAAATTATTGTTGAAGCCTTCCGTTCTTTCCATAAATATTGTTGGATTTTTCCTTAATGCGCTACAACCAGAAAAAAAGTTGTGGGTATTTTTTTACTAATGACTTTGAGGCTCTACTTTGTGATTTCCATATGCTATGTTTCATGCACTAACAAGTGCGTGCTGCATGAACATGCTACTTCTCCATTCCCTTTCTGTGCTAGTGCTTTTTCAAAATTTAATAATTAAGATGTATCTAACTTCTTAAAATTGTGCATTGATATGTGGCAGGGTTACTGTCAACTTTGGAAAGGATCCATTTGTTTTTGATATTAAAGTAAGATTTTCCTTCCTTGTCTCCAATTCCTTTCTCCATTGAACAACAAGTTTGTTGCAACTTTTTGTTAATTCTTGCCTTGATTACACTTATATGCTAGATATACTTATTTTGAACAACCAGTTCCTTGGAACTGGGAATATTAAGCTAATAATTAGTGAAGATTTAGCTTAATAAAAATTTCATTTTTAAGAGTTTCACTTAATGTCGCATTTTGTTCTTCTTTTCTTAATTTGGATTGTAAATGGGTTGCATATTGTTTAACATACACCTTCATATTTTTCGATGTCTTTTACAGTTTTACTTGGCCAATGTTTGATCCCCATATTTTGAGAATAGATTTTGTAAAAACTTGATTTTTGTGGAGAATGTGTAGTTAAAAAGTGGGAAAATATTGTGGGTTTACGTACAAAATTATTTTATTTGGGAGTGTGTAGTTGAGAACGAGTTTGGAGATAAATGAATTTTAAAGAATGGAGATCAAACATGGGCTTAATATGACTGGTAGATTGATAACACCCAGAATACATACTTTAAGTTGATGTGAATATTTTGTCATATGAACTGAATACATCAAAATAACTTGCCACATATTCTTTATTTCTGTTTTAGGAATTTTGGTTTGTAAACATAATTTTGTTGCTCTTTTGCATGCATCAACTTGCTTTTCAGTATTCTACGTTAACAAAATTGGAATGTTGAGGAACTTGATAACAAACTGATAAATTATGATATTCAAACTTTTGTATCTCATGTCTATTATATCCAATCAGGCATATGAGGCAGAGCTAAGAGCAAAACAGCAATATGAAATTGACAGTATTTCATTAACACTATCCGCTAGTCATGGGTAAGTACACGTTGCTATTTTTAAGCTCCATAACAAGAAAATTCTGATATTTGGGGTTCAAGGTGCCTGAAATATTATAAGCCGAGGCTTCCGTTTAATGTACAAGTTCTTGACTTTATATTGGAGGCTTGGAACAGTCCTTACCATCCACCACTGTGATTCCTCCTATTAATAAACTTCTTCCTTTGTCAAAACAGCAGCCCAAGTGCTAATGGCATTCCTCACTCTAATTTCATTGTGAAAGTTCGCTAATTTTCAGATCTTCCCTATTTATTTATTTGGCAATGTAGGCTACAGGAAAAATAGTTTAGGTGACACCTGATGTTTTATTGCTCTAAATAATGTAAGAAACAGAATTTTTTTCTGAACATCACAATAAATTGTTTAGTACTCCCTTTATTCTCTTGTATATAATTTATCTTTGCAATTCTTAATTGTTTGCAGTATCTCAATAATTCATGACTACCTGATTCTGGAGCTGTCATTTTTTAATTGTTGGAAATGGATTCGTGATTTTTTACTCGCCTTTCCTTCTGATGGACTTCAAAACAATAAAATAAACACGGTTTATAATTAAAAAAGTAATTGTTTCTTCAAAATATTTTGGTATTTTTTGTGGATCTAATCATAATGTGAATCCATGATTTATTTTTACTGATAAATGTTCATTTATGCTTTTTGTGAAAATTGTGTCATCGGAGAAATGTTCAAAACCCGCAGTTAATATTCTAGAACCAGAACATTCATTAGGGGCTTTAATTTTTCTGATCTTCAAGGAAAAATGCAGCTGAGTTTATTTTGTATAAAATAAGCCAGTGGTTTTTTTCTTGGAAATGTGCAGATAATAGCCTTCCTTATTGGATGCAGCATAGATGATATTCACATTGAAGAAATGAGTTTCTAAATTTATGAGTCTTTCCTCGTGCATGCACTTCAGTTCTGATGATTATTGTAGTGCTATTTTATAAATATATGCTCAAACATCTTATGATGAGAAATTAACATTTATAAATCAAATAATTGGACATTATTTGATTACAGAAATATAGAACTACAACTGATATTTTCTTTGATAATCTCCATTGCACTTTACAGATTAGTTCGTTCCTATTTACAGCACTATGGGTATGAAGGAACACTTGAATTGTTTGATATGGCTAGTAAAAGTACTCCTCCTCCAATTTCCTCCCTTCCAGAAAATGGGTTCAACGAAGAAGACAAAATGTATGCGATGAATCAGAGGAGGACTCTCCGTCAGGTGTGAATTGAAGTGTATTATTTTTCTTCATTGAAAATAATTTGCAGAATAAATTTCATTTCCAACTTCTCCTTTTATAGGAATATTACAACATATTTTAGGAAACCTTATACATGGAAACTAGCTATTATTTACATGGTAATTTCCTAATTAGCTAAATAATTAATATTCTAATACCCCCCTCAAATTGATATTGGTGAGTCCACAAGCATCAATTTGCTGTCTAGATAATTATGACGGTGGCGGGTTAGAGATTTGGTGAAGATATCTGCAGCTTGGTGAGTAGTGGAAACATGGGGACGAACTATGATCTTGGAGTCGTAGGCGTCCCGAATATAATGACAGTCCACTTCAATATGTTTGGTGCGTTCGTGGTATACAGAATTGGCTGCAATTTGAATGACACTAGTATTGTCACCATGAAGGGGCTTAGGCTGTGATTGAGAGAAACCAATTTCTGCAAGGAGACCACGCAACCACACAACCTTAGAACATGCAGCGGACATAGCTCGATATTCAGTCTCAGTGGAGGATTTAGACACGCAGTCCTGTTTCTTACATTTCCAAGAAATGAGCGCATCACCCAGAAAAACACACCACCCAGTAGTAGATTGACGACAATTTGGACAACCCGCCCAGTCAACATCACTATAGGCAGTGAGCTCAAGAGATGACCCTCGAGGGAAGAAGAGTCCACGATGAGGATTCCCAATAAGATAACGAACAATGCGACGAACAGCTACCAAATGAAGGTGACGAGGAGCGTCCATAAACTTGCTTACAGTATGCACGGCAAAGGAAATATCCGGACGTGTGATGGTAAGATATATAAGACTACTCACCAACTTTCGATAAAGAGTCGGATCAGGAAGAATATTGCCTTCACCTTTTCGATATTTAACATTAAGTTCCAAAGGTGTATCAATCGAGGGGGCTTAAAACAAATCACCCAATCGAATCAACTCTTGAATATACTTAAGTTGATTCAAGAGGATACAATGCGACGTGGTATGAACCTCTACCCAAGGAAGTAAGTTGACCAAGATCTTTCATATGAAAAACAGAGTGAAGTTGCTGCTAAAGCTTCTGAATAAGATCGTGGTCAGATCCAGAAGTAATGTCATCCACATACACCAACAACAAAACGATACCAGCAGTACTCTTGTGAAAAAACAGAGATACATCATACTGACTCTGAGTAAAGGAGAAATCCAAAAGAGTGTGACGAAACTTGTCAAACCAAGCCCGCGGTGCCTGCTTAAGACCATACAAAAAGCATTTTAGCTTACAGACAGAGTCATTAGAGGGAAGTGGCATACCAGAAGGAAGTTTCATGTAAATGTCTTCCTTGAGGTCCCCATGTAAAAACGCATTCTTAACATCCATTTGATGAAAGAGATCAGGATTGAAAAACAGCAAGAGATAACAAAAGGCGAACGGTGGTCATTTTAGCCACGAGAGCAAATGTCTCATCATAGTCGATTCCATACTTTTGATGGTTACCCAAGGCAACTAACCAGTTGTATAGCGTTCAAGAGAACCATTAGAGCGAAGCTTGATCGAATATACCTATTTACTCCTAATTGGTTTCACAGTTGGTGGACATGGTACAATATCCCAAGTTTGATTGGCTTCAAGAGCCTTAAGTTCTGTAGTCATCGCATGTTGTCAACACTCTTGTTCCATAGCCTGTCTATAAGATGTAGGAATGGAAATGGAGTCGGGAGTAGCAGACATAGAGCTATGGGAAGAAAAACCATACCTATCGGAAGGTCGAGGAACATGTGAGGTGCGACGAAGAGTGACAGGAGGCAGGTGATCATCTGGTAAAGAATCTGATGTCGGAGATGGAGGATCGGGGGGCGCAAGGAAACAGATGTCTAAGAAGGAAGCCTGGAAGCTGTGACTAGTGTGGTATGCCTGTGATAGTAAACGAGATCAGGCTTGTATCAAGAGAATTCTGTAGAAAATTTAGGCAATATAGAGAACACAGGGGGGGGGGGGGGAGAACAATTTCCAAAGTGAAGAAAGATTGTTTTTCAAAAAAAACGACATTACGGGAAATCCTAATCCGATGTGCTCCAGGGTCATAACGACATATCCTTTTTGACTTCCACCATATCCCAGAAATGCAAAATGACAGCTTGAGGTGTAAGTTTTGTCCGTTCATGCGGTGGTAAATGAACAAAACAAACACAGTCAAAAGGACGAAGATGAGAGTACGAGGTATGATGACCAAAAGAGCTTATAAAATGGAGAAACATTATCAATAGTGGGAGAAGGTAATCGATTTATGAAATGAATAGCAGTAGACAACGCTTCACACCAAAAAGGAGAAAGAACAGATGACTTGATCAGAAGACTCTAACAATGTCAAGAAGATGACGATTCTTGCGTTTTGCCACCTGTTTTGTTGAGGGGTAGAGGGGCAAGAGCGCTGGGAAATTATCTCTTTGGTCTGTAAATAAGATTGAAACGCATTTGACATATATTCGCCTCCAGAATCAGACCGTAAAATCCTAATAGAAGAGGAAAATTGATCGTTAATGAAAGCAGTGAAAGACTGGAAAGTAGAAAAAACTTCACTCTTTGCACGAAGAAAGTAAGCTCACGTGAAGCGACTATAGTCATCAATAAATGTAACGAAATATTTACAATGTGCATGAGACATGACAGGTGTCAAACCCCATACATCACTATGAACAATATCAAAACTATGCAAAGCACGAGAACTAAAGGAAGGAAACGGTAAAACCTTGCTCTTAGCAAGTTTACAGGATGCACAGTCAAGGGAGAGAAGAAACCGAAGCAGAATTTTTATTACCAAGTAAATTAGAGTTTAACAACTGATGCAATACATTAGAGTTTGGATGCCCTAATAACTTATGCCAATGAAAAATATCAAAAGTAGCAGAATTACAAGCAATAGGAAAAAATGGAACATGCTTCGGTAAAATAGGAAAGAGACGTCCATCCTTAGGCCCCCTCGTGATCGTCCTCTCGGACAACTGATCTTGCACAAGACAACCAGAAGAAAAAGACACGGTGCAATTGTTATCAACAAGTTGACCAACAGAGATAAGATTAGTTGATAAACGAGAAGAAAGTAGAACATTAGATAGCTTTGGTGATACGTCACCGACGGTCGAAATAGGAAGAAGGTTACCATCGGCAGTGTGTATATGGAGGGGTCCAGTATATGGTCTAATGTTACTAAGTAATTTAGTATCATGAGTCATATGATTAGAAGCACCTGAATCTAATAACCAAGAAGTATTTGATGATTTACGTGAGATACCTAATGCTGACAAAGCAGAAATAACCATGTTTTGGATCATTTCAGGAGTGATGGAAGGTTGGGTAGAACTGTGAGAGGCTGGAACTTGGGTAGGAGCAATTGACGAAGCAGAACTTGATGCTAAAGTGGCCGCAGCAACATAATCGGGCCTGGTTTTGCGTGGAGGACGTATAGGGCACTCTTTAATGACATGACCAGACTTCTTGCAGTAATTACACATTTTTCTTGGACATTAAAGAGCCATATGACCAAAACCCTTACAGCTGTAACACCATACATATCTCGATTCTTGAATTTTCCTTGAGCAGCATAAGCAACAAGAATTGTTGCTTGATGATGATGTTGCTCCAACGAGGTTCGAGTGATAAGACGCCATTCTTCTCTTAGTAACTCACCTAAGCAGCCATCCAAAGTTGGAAGTGATTCGCAATGCATAAGATTGGAATGAATGGGTTCAAACTCACTTTGCAATTTCATGAGAAACTGATCCCTCTTGGTGACTTCGTTTACAGCTTGAACTGCCTCCAAACTGTGAGGTAAAACTGAAGCATAAATAATATCAGTGAATTCAGCCTAAAGATTGGAAAAACTAGAATAATATTCTTTAATAGACCGAGAGTCCTGAGCGAAATTTGCCAATTCAGATTCCAACTGAAGCCGCCGAGCATTGTTGCTTTGAGTGTCAATTTTCTTCAAATACTCCCACATAGCACGGGATGACGGATAAGGTCTGAGATTTAGTACAATGTGAGGATCAACAGATCCAATGATCCAAGCCATAAGACAAGAGTAATTTGTTTTCCAAGTAAGATACTTCTTCTTTTCCTTTTCTTGATCTGGTGGAGGAATACTCCCATGAATGTGTCCACATAGATCACCTCTACCTTCAATTAATAACTAAAAGTGAAATACACATGAAGAATAGTTCTTTCCAGTAAAACGAATGTAAACAGAATCAGCCTTCTTAGATGCCATGATTAAATCCAACCCAAATTAATCAAATCCGTAAATTTAAATAATTAAACCAACTAAAGAAAAAAAAACAGGGCTGTGAACTGAAGCCCAAAGAAATGCGAACCAATAATCACAAGGTAGCTAAATAATTAATAGCCCAACAGTTAAATCCAATAGCCCAAAATAACAAAAGCCCAACACCATGAAAAAATAGAAGCCCAAATCAATGGCCCACTAACACCTCAACCTAAATTCAACCTAAATCAATTGAAGGCCGAGAATCACCAATCCAATCACTGAGGAATCCAGCCACCGAACACTGAGACTGGAGCTGGGAATAGAGAAGGCGTCGCGAATTGAGAGGGGGAAGAAACCACGACCAACACCACAAGCCATCTCGAACTGAGAAGCGCGACGCGAGACAAAGACCGGTGACTTGAACAACCAATTGAAATTTTTCCTCACCAAGATCACACGCACAAGTAAATTAGGGCTCTGATACCATGACAATAATTTGCGAAATAAATTTCTTGTCCGACTTCTTCTCCTTTTGTAGGAATATTACAACATATTTTAGGAAACCCTATACATGGAAACTAGCTATTGTTTACATGGTAATTGTTAAGATTTGGGGGTCCATCTTAAAAGGTCAACCTTATTAAGAGGAGTAGCCCAAGATCTTTATTAATTGGTCTGTGTCAACATCTTTATTCGATGTGGGATTATATCCCTTAACACGCCCCCGCAAGATGGTGGCTCATTAGTTAACCTTATTAAGAGGAGTAGCCTAAGATCTTTATTAATTGGTCTGTGTCAACATCTTTATTCGATGTGGGATTATATCCCTTAACAGTAATTATCTAATTAGCTAAATAATTAATATTCTAATATTCATAACTGAGCTGGGTTTTCTCAAGTTATTAGTTTTATGGGGTTTTCTCATCCTGCCAGCAGAGACAACCTATTTCAATTAAATTTGAAATTTCTAACCAGTCATTCCCTTTTTTGTCTCCTTTACTTGTATACCTGTGGGAAAACATAATTTTATTCTATGAAATGAAATATTACAAGGTTACACTTATATAGGTATAAAAGAAACCTAATTTACTACCATAATTTAGCTCCTATAATCGCACACATAATTAACCTTCCATAATTAACTCCTACAGTTATGTATGTTAATTATGATACAACTATACAATTAGCTCCTAAGATTATGCTAACTGAAACTATTTTCAACACCTCTCTGAACTGTGTTATAAAATCTATTCACTGAGATAATGATGATTAGGTTAGGTTGCTGAGCAGAAATGACTCAAAACAGAACTGATAGGAGTGATGGAATTACTCTTAAATAATTAGGAAATGTCACATTATGATGGGATATCAATTGTGACATCAGCTCTTCCCTTGTACCTCAGCACGGTATTTGGAAACTTAGGGAGTAAATTTTCGTAGGGTCGCTATAATTCTTCCATGAAGTCAAAGAAAGTTTTCTCCTTTTTCATCAGAAATTTGAAGGTTAATGTTAACCTCTTTAGGCAAAGCTTTTCTCATGTTTAGACTGGAGAAAATGTTCCAAATTATGTTCCAGTTTCGAATGTGCGCTTCAACAGAGATTTTGTGGTAGGCTGCAATGCACATGTTGGTCTGTTTAGTGAGGGAGAAATGCCAGAATTATTTATAATCGCCTTATGTTTAGGGTGTATCGTATGATCGACTTGTATATGTCCACTTTTGAGGGTATCAATGTCACAATGATTTGGGTAATTTACAGAGTGAAGATGCATCTAAATAAGGTGTCAGCATTCTTTGCAACAATATTTCGAGTATCGGCACACTTCTTTTGGTTGCGTCGCATTCGCCACCCATGAATTCGTTTTGACCTTCAACTTTATCAATGCAACTACTTGATGCTCAATGAGCTTGAATTTTAGTTCTCTTAATCTTTTACTTGTAAAAACATTCATTTTCCATATTTATTCACTGATACGTTAGGCTCTTGACTCAACGCAATCTGCTTCATCTGTTCCCGCTTATTGGTCCTTGCTAGTATGATAGCAACTTAATAAAACTAATAATATCTACTGAAAATATTATATAACTTTTTGCATTTATTCGGTCGTGCAGCTAATAAGTCGTGGTGAGATTGATGAAACATTTGCTAAACTCCGTGAATTGTATCCTCAAATTGTTCAGGTAGATGACATCTCTCTCTCTCTCTCTCT